TCCATCGACAGTATCAATGACCTCGGCGTTCTCCAGCTGGTTGCGAGGGTCACACAGGAAAAACAGCGGGTGGACCTGGGAGACCACCATCAAGCGTTTGATCAAGTATTCTAGCGGAACATTGCTCGGGAAGTATGCCGCAACTTTCTGGTAGACTGAGTCGGGAGGAAGGATACCGGCCGACACGAGCGGTGGGGGTTCGCTATCCATTGCCTCGCGAATATAAGGTAAATCAATATCTTCCAAAGAAGTCACATAACCGACGTTGGTGTCTTCCTCGGAGCCGCTATCCTGCTGCTGTTGCGCAGCGGACCTATAACGTCCAGCGCGTCCACCGATCTGCTTGATTTCAGGCACACTAAGTCTCTGAAGGCCTCCGGGAACCCGTTTGATCAACGTTTCGAAAATGATGCGCTTGCAGCTCCTGCTACAGTTAGCCACGGTACATAGACAGTAGGTAGAGGCAGCTTACAAGTTCAGACCCATACCGATGGCGTCACTAGCAACGAGAAAGTCGTAGTCATTGTCGGGGTCGTTGAACAGACTGGCTTGCTGGGTCCGAATTTCAGCCGGCAGACTTCCGTAGACAATGGCTGCCCGCTTTCCAGTATTCTTTTCGATGTCTGCTTTCAATGCATGAATACCGACACGAGAGAATGAAACCAAGCAATCTCCCTTTTGGAGGTTCTTCAGATCACCTTTGAGACTGCGGTTCTGAACCTTCAGCGGGTTCAGTCGCTCATACCGATGGATCTCGAGCTTATCGCCCGTCAAGGCAGCCAGTTCTTTGATCAAAGGCACAGCTCTGACTTCACCGCAAAGATGCAGTTCGGTGGCACGCGCACCGAGCACGGCACGAGTCCAAGCCCACCCACGGTGAGGGTCTGCGATCATTTGGATCTCGTCAACAACACCGACTTCATATTGATCTCCCAAGCTAACCATCTCAACGGTGTTGCTAACAATTCTGGAGGGCTTTCCATCTTCCGGAATCTTCACATCATCACCAGTGATGAGACTGCAGGAGGTTCCATTCGCTTGGAAACGATGGAAAACCTCCTGAGCGAGCAACCTCAAGGGGCCAGCGTAAAAGCCGCGCTTCGATGCTTCCAAACGCTTCAGCGCGTGGTATGTCTTTCCCGAATTCGTTGGTCCCACGTGCAGATGAATCGTTCGCTGCAAAGCGCGCGCTTGCGGATACCACTCCGCCGGGCGTCGCAAATCCGCCACCTTCTTCTGTGCTTCGAGATTGGGAGCTGAGTATCTCGACGTGACATCCTCTGCGTACATGTGAAACTCCAGCTCGTTGATTAAGCCCCGAACACCATTTTGGAGGTAAGATCTATGCAGCGCATCCTTGATGTGGCGTAATGGACCAACACTTTTTCGCTCGTCTAGTTTACATGCGTTCAGCATAGTTCGTTCAAACCGGGCCCAATTAGCCAAAGCTGGGTCATCTTTATCTGTAAGATTTTGCCGGTAGATGCTCAAAGCGTGTGTTACAACGCCCGCGAAATCTTTGGCCGCAAGCGTTTGTCGGGTGTTCCGTTTTGAAGCGAAGGATGGGGGAGCAGATCTCTTGGAAGACTACACGTAGATCAAAAGTCAGCCATTTGAAATCAAAAATATTAAACAAGTGGTGGAGTAGGGTGATGGATATGTACCGTAGCTCCCTCATTTTTCTTTTCCAGGCTTTGTAGATGGCGCTGTTTCTTGGAAGGCCTTACGGATCTCTGCAGCACCGGAGATGTCACAAATGTCCTGACGGGACGTGACACCGACTGGAAGGTGCAGAAGAGGCAATAGTTGCCTCTGCGGCTCCATGACTGCATCCCACCGAGCTGTGCCGGGAGCAATGTCAGGTCGAATAATTGCCGTCGCTATCAAGCTGCGGAGCGGGTTCTGCGGAGATCGGAAGTGTAGTTTAACTGCAGGAGGCGAGAGAGAAGAAAAACGAGGGATTGATTTGGGAGATCCAAAAGGAAACGATACAAGTAACCCCTGACCAGTCAGAGACCAATCACCGCATCGTCCTGCAACCGCGCGCGAGGGAGGGAATAGTTGTTGAAAACCGAAGGATACTACTATCTGGATGGCAATCATTCGCCATCGGCTTTTTCTCGCGGCCTGGGTGCCTGGGTGCCTCATTGCCTGCAGCTGGCGATCGCCGCAGACTAACCGGAACAGGAAGGGGAGGGGTCACACCGCCTGGCGGATTGGGAGATTAGACAGGAAGAATGATGCTTTTGACCCGCTGGGGAGAAAGAGCAGAAAGAGGGTCTCTTCTTGTCTCAGTCTCCAGTCTCGGGGATATCCTGAGTCCCGACTTACGTTTCAAAAAGATAGCCTGCCCGCATCGCTGGTGTCCATCACGGCTGCCCCTGAGTATTGTTCTCCATTACCTCCCCCCTCCATTGCTGGCTCTGGCTGTGCCTTATCTTCCGGTTCCCTCCCTACCGCTCCCCCGTCATTCCCCTCCCCAGCAATCGTGAAGTCGAGTGTCTATGCCCCCGTGAGGGCTGCCGGTCAGCCACAATGAGCTCCTCAATCCTCAACATCCAGCGTGATCGTGAGTATTCCCTGCCTTATACTTATAGTCTATTCATATATTAATTATTCATCCGCTAGTTATTTTGAATACGATCCGTTATGCGGCGGGTAATGAGGTGCGATTGCTTCCCCTCCCCTTCTCCTTACCGTGGATTTGGCCCCCGCTTCGTTTCACCCCGCCGCAGAACTGACACTTTGTCTACAGTGGAAGGTCTTGGTGGTAGACGAGACCAGTCGCAAGCTAATCGACAATGCGGTCAGTGAGGATGATATTCTCAATCTCAATGTCACCAGTAAGTTACCCTCTGTTTATTCCTCGTCGTCCCGGTGCGGCGCTAATGGCCTCCCGCAAGATGTTGAGCAGATCGAGCATCGGCGCTCCCCCAATCCTACGATGGATGCGCTGTATATCCTCTCGCCCCTCCCACACATTGTCGACTGTATTATGGCGGACTTTGAGAGGAAGAGATACCGGAAAGCGTGGTTGGTTTGGACATCATGTCGGGCACCTGCTTCCTCAACGGCCGCTTGGTGCTGACGTCGCTCGCAGTTCTCGATCCGCAACAGCGCGCTAGATTGGACCGTTCCCAGATTGCTCGCGACCAGATCGCCAATGTTCAGATTATGAATGCCGACTATTTCCCCAGGGAATCGCGCCTGATTACCTTCCGAGACCCGTGGAGCTTTCCGGTGTTGTTCCACCCTGGTTGTAATCACTTGATCCGCGCACACTTGGAGGGCTTGGCGCAGAAGGTGAGCTAGACTACCTGTGTAGATGAGCTGGTATTGACTGGATAGGTTGTGTCGCTCTGTGCGAGCTTAGGAGAGTACCCCGTGATCCGGTACTACCGCCCCCGGGCACCAACACACGAGGCCAGCGTACTGTGCTCACACCTGGCGCGGTTCATTCAGAACGAGCTGGATCAGTTTGCGCAATTTCAGCGCGACTTTCCGCCCCCGTCTCCCAGACCGCGCGGAGTGCTGTTGATCGTGGATCGGTCCATGGACCTGGTCGCGCCCTTGCTCCATGAGTTTACATATCAGTCCATGGTGCACGATCTGCTTCCAATCAGCGATGGCGACAAGGTTACTTACAAGACTGTCATCAATGAGGGAAGCCACAACGAGGAAGTCAAGGATATGGAGATCAACGAAGAGGACAGCGTGTGGGTGGAGTATCGCCACATGCATATGAAGGACGTGCTCGGCAAGCTAGGTGAAAACTTTGCCAAGTTCCGAGCTGCCAACCCTCAGTTTGCGGAAGAGTGAGTGACAGCCATTGATGGTCTTTTTTTCTTTTCCCTTCTTACTAACGGCGCTGCAGCAATGATAAAGCGAACGTGAACACTATCAAGGACATGCTGGCGGGTCTGACAGAGTTCCAAAAGGGAAGAGATGCTTATACACTGCATCTTAACATGGCGCAGGAGTGTATGAGTTACTTTCAAAAACACAAGCTCCTTGAAGTGAGCTCGGTTGAACAATGCTTCGCCACCGGCATGGACGAGAACTACAAGAAGGCAAAGAACCTGGCTTCCCAGTTGGTGCAATTGCTAGACGATGATGCGATCAAGCAGCCAGAGCGACTGAGGTTGCTGCTGCTTTACATCATCTACCGGGGAGGCATCCTCGCGGGTGATATCCGGAAGCTCTTGGCACACGCGCAACTTGCACCGCAGGACGGTGAAATTGTAGCCAACCTCGATCTACTTGGAGCCCGTGTGGAGAAGCCTCTGAAGGACGATAAGCCACCCGTCCAGCCGCTGTTCACCAGGAAGGCGCCGTCTGGGCCCATCGACGAAGAGGAAAGTCTCTCGCGCTACGACCTGAACCTCAAGTTGATCTTGGAGGAGCTGGTGCGCGGCACGCTGGACCCTGGGGTCTTCCCGTTCACGCGGCCACACACGGATGCCGACTCGCCGGGACAACAAGAGAGTCTCTCCCAGGCGTCGCTGCGCAGTGCCAAACCGACGTGGGCACGGACGCGGTCTACCGGCGAGCAGCCGAAACAGCGGATCATCGTGTTCATGGCAGGTGGTGCTACATATGGAGAGGCACGCACATGCTACGAGATCTCGCAGTCGTGCGGCAAGGACGTGTTCTTGGCCACATCGCACATGCTGTCCCCCGGATTGTTCCTGCGCCAGGTGGGCGATCTCAGTGTAGACCGACGCCGGCTCGACATTCCCGCCGAACGGCCCAAGCCCACAGCGCCGGCGCATCTCTTCGAGCGGGAAGCTCCACCGCCACCGGCACAGCCTGTGAAGAAGCCAGTCCCGGTGAATCTGAACCCGATGGCACCGACATCCGCGCTGGCGGCGATGTCACTGGGACCGAACGGCAAAGCAACGAACGGAGCAGCGCCGCCTGAGAAGGAGAAGGATAAGAAGGAGAAGAAGGAGAAGAAGGAAAAGAAGCACCGCTTCTTCCGGTAGCCTTGGCCATTCTTTCAACTGAACCAGCCTCGTTCCGCAGCACACCTCCTGCGGACATTAATACTAGCCTCTAGTATCTTCTGTGTATGTAGTGACTATGTATGTACCATGCAAACCAGCAGAACCCTAATACTTATTCGAACTCCTGGGTATATACCAAACCAACCAACGCCCCCATCCCGAAACCAATGATAGAAAGAAACACAATCTACTTCCCATGAAGATACCTCAACACATCCTCATCCTGGAAAAACAACTCCCGTAACCTCTCCCCCTTCTTCCTCTCCTCCAACTGTCCTTTCCTCGCCTCCTTCGCATTCAACACCTTCTTCTTCTGCACCCTCCCCCTCCCACCTTTATCTCCACTCTTATCCTTAACCTCAGGAACAACAGCCCCCAACCCCACCGTATCCTCCTTCACCTTCCCCTTCACCGGCTCCCGTATGCCCTCTCTTCCTTGGGGTCCCAATCCCACCCGCGAATCCGGATCCCAGCCATACGCCTCGAGATAGCGCAGTCCGGGACGCGTGCGATCAAGATGAGACGGCGGATGCGAATGCGGGAGACTCAGTTGATGCGGGAGTGTAGCTTCATGTATATGCCTCCTCCTTCTTTCGCCTGCTCCCCCTGTTCCTCCGTCTGATGTGTCGTGTGTAGGTGTAGTATATGGAAGGTTACACACGGGACAAATCTCAACATCTTCTTCAACTTCCTCCTTCTGCTCACTATATGGTTGTGAACCCGAACCTGGTTCTGACTGCGAGATAGGTTGTGACGGCGATTGTGTAGGAGGAGTAGCGGGATTCGACTTCGACTTCGACTTCGACAGAACAATCGAGAGGTATTTATTCGCTATACTCTGCCCGGTCGAAGTAGAAGGGGTTGCTGGCTCAGAGGATGATACTCGTGTAGTAGAGAGGTGTTGTTCGGAGGAGCGCACGAACGGCACGCGCTTGCGACGGATCCCTGCGCCGAAGACTCGTTGGTCTTGCAGGGGGAGGAAGTATTCGTCATCATCTTCATTGTCTATTTCTCTGTTGTTGGGTGGCATTGTCCATAACCTTTTCTTCTTTTTCTTGGTAGGATAGTGAAATTGTGAAGTTATGAAGAGGAGGGAAGATATGATGGCAAGTGGCAGGCAGCTCGAAGTGGCGGGAGATCGGCCGCTAAGATATGTTCCGTAAGTACGTACGTACTCTCCGAACGGAGTGTCTGGACTTAACTCCGTCAGAACATATCTGTCTCCTCCGTCTGTCTCCTTCCCTCCCCTCCCTTTCACTACTACAACCACAACCACAATAGTGTTGTTCCGGCAAAAATGCCCATCCCCATCATCACAACAGCAATAACAGAAGGCACAAACTCCATCCCACACCTATGGAGCATATTAAAACTTCTCCCCTGGGCGGTCGTCCTCGCGGCCCTGAAATATTATTTCGGGGGTGCTAGAAATACCTCTGAGCGGTTAATGCATTCGAAAGTCGTTATGATTACTGTATCCCTCCGTCTCCCTCATCCCACTCTCTTCCCCAATTTCCCAACCTCACCGCTAACAAGATACCCCTGGGGCATCAATAGGGCGGCACATCCGGCATCGGCGCCCAAGTAACCTCCGCGCTCGCCTCACGCGGCGCCCAAATCATCCTCCTAACACAACACCCAGCCACGGACATCTTCCTCTCCGAATACATCGAGGACCTCCGCCGGAGCACCAACAACCAACTAATCTACGCCGAGCAAGTCGATCTCTCCTCCTTACACTCCATCCGCACCTTCGCCACGAAATGGATCGATAATGTGCCGCCGCGACGCCTGGACATGGTGATCCTGTGCGGGAATGCGGCGCCGCCCGTATCCCAGAAACGGAAGCTCACTGTGGACGGCATCGACGAGGAGTGGATGGTGAATTACCTGGCGAATTTCCATCTGTTGAGTATACTTTCGCCGGCGTTGAGGGCGCAGCCGGCACATCGGGATGTTAGGGTTGTGTTTACGACGTGTTCGAGTTATATCGGGGCCAAGTGGGATTTGAGGAAGGTGGAGGAGGCTGCTGCGGTTACTGCTGCTGTTGCTGCGCAGCAGCAGGGGGATAACGGGGGTAGTAATGGGGATGGGAGGAGAGTTGTGATGAAGAATGGGAAGTTACAACGGGAGAAGGCTAAGCCCAAGGCTAAAAAGGCTACGAAAGGAGTCAGTTTGTACGGACTCAGCAAGCTTTCGCTGATGGTGTTTGCGCAATCGTTCCAGAAACATCTCAATGCGTTCAAGAGGCCGGATAACCAGCCGTGCAGTGCGCGGGTGATTATGGTGGATCCGGGATTTAGTCGGACGCCTGGGATGAGGAGGTGGATGACGGGGGGATCGTTGTGGGGACTGTTTGTGTATCTGGTGACGTGGCCGGTGTGGTGGTTGGTGTTGAAGTCGCCGCAGCAGGGGGCGCAGAGTGTGTTGTATGCGGCGATGGAGGCGGAGTATGGACGTGGGGAAGGGGGGTGGATGATTAAGGAGTGTAAGGAGGTGGATTTGGCGAGGAAGGAGATCAAGGATGAGGAGGCGGGGAAGATGTTGTGGGAGTTTAGTGAGAAGTTGATTGAGGTTAAGGAGAGGGAGTCGGCGGTGCGGAGGGCGTTGGCGAATAAGGAGAAGGAGGTGGCAGAGCAGATGGAGAAGAATAAGGCGTCGGGGTCGTCGTCTGGGGCGAAGGAACAGACGCCGGGGTCGAGGAGGAGTCGGAAGGGGAAATAGGTGTATTTAGGTAAAGTGATTTTATAGATTAGGTAGGGTTGGGTGTACATTATCACATTGATCTGTATTGATAGAGTTACGTGATCCAGGTCTATCCTATCGCTGCATATTGCATGGCGAACTCAGTTACATCAACATCACATCAAGCTCTGCTCTCTAAATACAACAAGGAAAAAGGAAATTCGTCATCCAATTAGCAAGTCCAATCGTGTCTCTATCGATTTTCCTGGCGAGAAAAAGAAATTCTAAGCATATGCGGGGTCATTATTTATTTCTGCAGCTTCTCCAGCAGCTCGGCCGGGGGCTGTTGGCGGTAACCCTGGGGGTTGTTGCGGGTCCACAGCCAGAGGTCCTCGCAGGCCTGCTCGAGGGTGCGCTCGGCCTTCCAGCCCAGCTCGTTGTTGGCGCGCGTGGGGTTGGAGGTCAGGTTGAGCACGTCACCGGCACGGCGGGGAGCAACCTCGTAGGGGAGGTCACGGCCCACGGCCGCCGAAAAGGCACGGATCATCTCGTAGACAGTGCTGCCCTTGCCGGTACCCAAGTTCCAGGCACGGACTCCGGGGTTGTTGGCGCGGAGGTAGTTCAGGGCCTTCAAGTGACCATCTGCCAGGTCGAGAATGTGGATGTAGTCGCGGATGGCGGTTCCGTCGTGGGAGGCGTAGTCTGATGAGTTAGGTTAGATCCTTATTCTCCAATTTCACTATTGAAGGTAACTTACCATCTCCGAACACGAGGAGCTTCTCGCGCTTGCCGGTGGCCACCTGGGCAAGGAGGGGAAGCAGGTTGTAGGGGACACCCTGGGGGTCCTCACCCATGATACCAGAGGGGTGAGCACCGGCGGGGTTGAAGTAGCGGAGCAGAGCACCGTTCCACTTCTGGGCCTCGGCCTCGTTACCGGCCTTGATGGCGTTGTTGCGCTGAGCGTTGATGACATCGGTGATGGCGGTCTCGACGGCGAACTTGGTGTTACCGTAGGGGTTGGTGGGGCCCAGAGGGCACTCCTCCGGGATGGGGATCATATTGGGGAAGCGAGTGGCATCACCGTAGACGGTGGCGGAGGAGGAGAAGACGATGTTGGTGACATTGTGGCGGACCATGGAGCGCAGGAGGCAGATGGTGCCGTAGACGTTGACGTGGTAGTAGTCCAGAGGCTTCTCACCGGACTCACCGACGGCCTGAATACCAGTCAGCTAGAACCTCAATTGATGCGCGAGAGATATGCAGAGAGGTAGATTGACGCATCGAAGCATGCAAAGGTATAGAAAGTAGAGGGAAGCGCACCTTCAGAGCAGCAAAGTGGATGACGCTGTCAATGTCGGGGTGGGCCTCGAAGACACGGTCGAAGCCAGCCTCATCGGTGACATCGAGCTGAGCGAACTCGGCCTTCTTGCCGCTGATCAACTCAATGCGCTTGAGAGCCTCAGCGGAGGAGTTGTAGAGGTTGTCAGCGACGACGACCTTGTAGCCAGCCTCGAGGAGAGCGAGGGTGGTGAAAGAGCCAATGTAGCCCGTTCCACTGTTTGGGGGAAGAATTGCGGGGTCAGCGGGTGTGATGGAGGGACAAAGGCATTGATGGGAAGCTTACCCGGTGACAAGAACTGATCCAGCAGGCATGATGATGGTGTATGATTAGGATAAAGGATGAGAGGGAAAGATAGAGTCGGAGGTAAAGAGGAAGAGAGAGAGAGAGAGAGAGAGAGAGAGAGAGAGAGAGAAGATGAAGAGGGAATTGGAAAGAAGATGAAACGGAAAGGTAAGATGGCGCAAACGGAGATTTGGGGGGGAAGAAAGTCGGGCGGCGGGGACGGGATATTTAAGGGGCGGCCGCAATTGGTAGCTTCCAATGGAGTCACAAGTACTTACTCCGTAGTAATATTCAGGTACAGAGTGAACAAGTTACTGTTTGCCTCTTCTACTGCCTTTTCTGTCTGCCTTCCTCACTCTTCTTCTCTAACAACCCCCTTTTGCGATATTCCCATATTACCATATTCCCACCTGCTGATCAACCAAGACAGTCTACGTAAACGGCCCTCAACCACGGGACGATCCATATTAATTCTCTCCCCCCCGCCATTATTATCCCACATCCCACCACCACCACATCACACCATTTACTTTGCTCATAGTACTTTGTATTCCTGTATGTCTTATGTATCAGTATCACAGCTGCAGATGCATGCATATATGCAACAATACTGCATAACAGTCGGAGTAAAGTTCAGGCCACAATAAAAGAAAAAAGAAGTACTGACTTACGGAGTTTTTCTACCCCTCCAGACCAGATCCAGCCATGTGCATACTGCATATCCATAATAATAATAATATTACCTTGTTTGATCATCATCTTATTCTATTAGCAGTAAGTGTACTTTCCCGTCGGTTAATAAGTGTATTATACAAAGTAGATAGATAGATGAAATAGATAGACCAGAAACTGAAACATACACACGGCCCGAGACAAGTCCGTCCGTCACGGCTAATTGACTTGATTGCACCACACTACCACTATTTACAGTACATATTCCCTGTTCCTTGCAAGGGTGCCATACTAATACAACAATGGTATTATTATGATGGCACCATGCCTATTATTCTCTCAGTATTCTTTTTTCCCTTTTAACCAGCACCAGCACCAGCCAGCTCCAGGAACCAGACTCGGCAGTGGATCCAGTCCCAACTGAAGTTCCCACATCACACCTGGTACTTACTTGCCAAGTTACTTATAGTACTAGTCGTCAAGTGGACCGCTTCCACCCGATCCCAAGGGTCCAATCAATCGTGGGTGGGCTGTCACGCTGCCATTTGCCTCTTTCTCTCTCTCTCTCTCTCTCTCTCTCTGTCCCTCTTTTCTCTCTCCCTGCCTTGTCATAAATCCCATGGTTTGTTAAGGGGCGAAATTATGTTACGGAATTAAGGGAAACGATCTGCTACTGTCAGATTGCTATACCTAATACGTACCTATCTACTTGAGTCTGCTGGTGATGACGATGATGATGATGATGATGATGATCAGGGTAAATGAGGGAGGATCCATGTGCTGATGAGTTATTATTATTATTATTATGTCTGGAACATTTTCAGGGGTAGATGCAATGCAGTGTAGTGTATATTCATTCCCCATTTACTTATGAAGTAAATGATTAATGCTCATGCCGAACAGGTGGTCTTTGTTGGTCTCAATGGTCTGGTCTGGTCCGAGTCCCCACTGGTTTGGTTGGTTGGTTGGTTGGTTGATTAATTGCTAGTAGCTTTCCGGGTAGGATACGTAGTATATTCCTGCGTAGTATGAAGTATCTTAAGTTATAGTCTCTTGTTAAAATTAATTAGAGTATTTGCACAACCTAGTCTACCGAATGTGTCTGAATGATCCCTCACTCCCAAGAGCAAAATAGTGGAGGTTGGAATGAAGTAAAGTGACCTGATGAACCATAAATCGCAGGTGACAACTATCCGCATGCGGTTGTGTGGGGTAGTGGTTATCCCTTCGGATTTTGAGTACTTCTTGTGCTTCGGAAGTTCCGACAACCCCGGTTCGAACCCGGGCACGACCTGATTAATTTATTGCTTTTTGATTCATATTCCTTTTTTGTCTACATCATAGCATGCATGACCTGGAAGGTGAGGATGGTGCTGTTGCTCTGTTACTGTAGATGTGAGATACTTCCTAGTGTTTATGGAAGGTGATCTTTTTAAAATATCAAGATGCTATGGTGATGTACTATATAAATAACTATTGCAGTAAAGTCACTTGTCTGTCAAATTGGCATTTATCCTGGTTTGATCATATTCAATTCATTCAGTTTCTTTGCTACTCCACCATATCAGTCACCTTTGCATACACCCGCACCAACCCCTTCTCCGTACCAGGAACAATCCTATCGCGTGTGATGCGTATACTCTCCGTGCCGGTGCTCTCCACATCAAAGTTGAACCGACGCATCACATGCGCAATGGTCAGGTAGAGCTCGATATATGCCAGACTGTTGAACTCGTTAGTAGCAGACACTGCAACAGCGGTAAGGGCAGACTGACTTCATCCCAATGCAAGCTCGACTCCCCCTCATAAACGATACAATGTATCGTGTTAGATTAACCCCTTCCTCGGCAGCCTTGATCCAGCGCTCCGGATCGAATTTGTCCGGCTCGGGAAAGAGGGACGGGTCGCGATGGACGAACCAAGTTGAAGTGCTCATTGGTGTCTATCAAGTATTGTTAGCTTGTGATGGGTGTTGAGGGCAAAGTGATAGAAAACATACCCCAGGTGGAAGCACATAATCCTTGTACTTTAGTGTTTCAGTTGGTGCCACGCGGGGCAGCCGCATAATCAGCCCATAGGATAATCGTAGAGATTCATTCAGAACGGCCGTCTAGGCGTGGAAATCAGTTAGGATGAAAGTCAGTGTTGCAGGCTCACGACATACCAAGTACGGCAGCTTCTCCAGCTCCGGCCAGGTCGCGATACTGGTGGGTGTGGGCAGGACCTGCTTCAGTTCACTCCGTAGCTTGTCTCGTATGCTTTTGTCTCGCGACACGTAGTAGGTCATGATCATCAAGGTACTCGCGGTCGTTTCTGTGCCTGCACCAAGAAGCAAGAACACCTCGTCCTCAATGCAACGCTGGCTTCTGTCCGCGACTGGTAAGCTGGGGTCCGTCAACCTCTTGAAGATGGTCCGATCGTCCTTCCCCATTGCCTTGGAGGCATCGTGCGTGTTTTCGGATATCGTGCTCAGAATGGAACCCTGGAACTGGAGCATACCGGCCCTGCCGGGGAGACATAGGGCCATCAGATGCAGCGGAATCTTGCGCATGGTTTCCGGCACAAAAGGAAAGAAGCGGTTGAAGTGGCCAAGTCCAGTATTCTCTTCGTTACCTCCGTGGACGTCGCTGCGGAAGTCCTTATCCTCGATGAATCCCCAGAGCTTCCCATAGCAGTAATAGGTGATTACATCTGAAGTCAGCGCGGCATATGCATTGCTCAGATTAACTACACTCTGATCGCGATAGAACCCCTCGAAGCGCCCCATCAGCTTCCCCACCCGCTCCTCGACGAAGGGAGATATGGCAAGGACGGACCGCTTGGAAAAGAAATCATTGAGGATATTGCGACGGAAGCGGTGATGTTCGTGGCCGATCGTACCAATCGTGGAGTAGGGAAGCGCAAATGCGCCGTAGGCCAGAGGGTCCCTATCGCGTTTGCGAGCGCTGGAGGCATAGATCTCATCATAGAAGGCGGGGTCGCTGATATGGACTTCACGGGGGTTGATGCGAACAATTGGGCCTGAGGGAGGAATTAGCCAAGCTTCAGCTGGATGAATTTCTCTGTACCTACCATATCGCTGATGCATTTTCTCGATCTGGAATAGAAACCTTCCATGGCAGATAACATCATAATAGAACTCATATAGATGCGTAACTGCTGTGAGCTTAGGCCCCGGGATTCCAGATAAGGGGTGGAAATAGAGGCGATAGATGGATCGCAGGACGTAGAAGCTTACGATACCGACAAGGGCGAGCCAGATGTGGGAGATATCCAGAGCCATCATGGTGGCTGTATGGAATGCCAGGGCAATTATCTGAAGCTGTGAAACAAAAAGATCTGACATGGGCAGTGATGGTGTAGCGACAATATAAATACTATAAGTACCGACGACATATACCGACCCAACCCTGCTGCATCTGCTCGTAGCGCTGTCGGCCTTGCAGATGGCCAAGGAGGGGAACGGGATGAGAAGCGAGTGGTTCACCAACCACCGATCATGATAACTGCTGGTCTGGGCCTGAGAGGTGCCACAAATGACCTGGAAATATAGCTAGCTTGGAATCTAGAACAAGGCGATGCATTCGCTAAGAAGAAATCCCGCCTATGAATGCGGGAGAGATATATTGGAGGTGATATTGACACGTTCCAGCCTCCCCATCTGGATTTTCTGAGGGTGATGTGTAGTAGTAGTAGCAATACATTCCATCGGTATGATGTAACCGTGAACCGCACCGAGACTTGCAACTGATCATGATTCACTGTAATTTCTCTCCACGCTGAAACGGTGTGGGAGATAGAATATTTCCGGGCCTATAAGGAGCTGTTAGTTACTCGTTACCCAATAACCCCAACTAGGGCGCGGGGTCGCAGCGCTAATGCTGCATCTTTGGCACGTCAGCTATCTGTCTCTTTCAATAGGCTAGTGGAGAGCTACCCATCATGCAGACGATATCACCGTCTGAAGCTACATACCAAATAGTTGGCCAGTTGGAAATACGGGCATGTTTCTGGTCCCGACGAATGATCACGCTTCTGACCTGTCTGCGTATCAATCAGAGCCGAGCTGTACATTCCGGGCATCTCGGTGGGCATTGCGCTACAACCTGTCAGATACTCGCTACAGCTGTTGATCCGTAGTGTAAAGAACACAACCAAAGCTTGAAAGACGCTTGATTGATATTTGGGAATATAAATATAGTTCAATGATATCATGAGACCTCGATCGGGGCGAGACACAACTGAAGTACCAGGGCTTGCTAGTACACATGCTTCAGAAACACTTGGCTAGGAACCACACTGGAATGGGGAATGACCTTGTTTGGAAGCGAACCATGAACTCCCGTCCGAGAAACAATCTAGAAACAACCTCATTTCTGTCGCATCCGAAACTGCAGCACAGGGCCCTCCTTTCCAACCGCGAAATGGTCCTTGATCTTGTATTCTCCTTGGTAGCCGACGCCCAACTGCTCCGTCCCCGGTGCCAGTCGTATATCATACAACCACAATGCCCGGGAAATAATCAGCTCGAGCTCGAGAATGGCTACATTCCGCCCGATGCACGCTCGCGGTCCGATACTAAAAGGTGCGAAGGCCTGCCGCTGCCGACTGAGCACCTCAGCACTCACCCCCTCGCCTTGCTCAGTGCCTTTGCTGTCACACAATAGCCACCGACTTGGATCGTACTCAAAGGGGCGGTCGAAGTGTTCTTCACTGTGGTGCAACGCGTAGGTGGGGACTGCGACAACCGTCCCGGCTGGGAAATGCCACTCTCCTACTCGAAGCCCTCCAGCGAGGACTTCTCGTGGCAGATCAGTAGGTACAGGCGGGCATACACGCATGGTCTCATCAATACAAGCGTGAAGGTAAGCCATCTGCGACAAAGCGGGACCGGCAACGATCGCCTCCAGTGTAGGGAAGACGGCACGAATCTCTGCGCTTAGCCGGGCAAGGATAGCTGGATTATGAGCAAGGTAGTAGAAGATGGCAGTTAATGTTGTATTGGTTGTGTCGTTACCTGATAGTTCAGTCCGTAAGTTCCAGCCAAAGGACAAAGCAGGGCAAAGTCACAGTCGAAACGAGGTTGTGTACATACCGGCTCCTAGCAATGTCATAA